GCACAGCTTTCCTTCACCAGCTGACAGATTCACAATTGCTCACGCCTTTCTTTTCACCTGATTCCTTGTAATGTCTAGTAAGGTACTTGTCCTTATTTATGTAAATAGTATGTTTTATGTAAATAGCATGGGACACAACTCTGCATTGATCCCCATAGCTGCTGTGGGTCAGGAACTACTCAGTCATATCAGTGACCCTGCAGGGCCAACACCACCCTCTACTTTAGTGCGTGTGTTAGGACACACCAATGACTGCATGACCACCTTTTAAAACCTGGCTGTCCTCTAGCTAGCAATCTGCAATCCCAACACCTGTCCTTCCCGACACCACTGGCTTTGCTTCCATGCATATCTAAATGTGAAGACATGCTCTCATCTCTTCCTGTACTTTCATCCTCCACCTCCTCAGGATTGACACACAACAGGGGGACACTGGGGCCTGACCAAATGCTTCTGAATAACTGCAGTAAGAAGTGGCTTAGGCAAAAGGCCACGGCAGGAGAGGAGGACAGTTACAAGTGACAGTAAACAGGAGTAAAGCAAGCACTAAAGAAAGCGGTTATGACAATTGTAAAAACTTTTCATAGTCAATTTTATTTTGGGGGAACAGATGCTGAGGAGAAGGAGTATCTTGTGAAAGCTAATTCCTGACCCACTGAAGTGCTCCCTGACAGCAGCACTGCATGGAGGCAACATTTAAGTTAGAAAGTGTATGAGAAAATAGCAGTGTCTGTAACGTAATGAAAGTGGGGAGTAAGAACCAGGGTGTTTCAATGACTATGGGGGCAGTGGGCTTTGAAGCCAAATCAACTTAAGTATAGTTACCACCTGTTACACTGTGATCTTGTGAAGGTTACCTAATCTCTCCAAACATTATTTCCCACATTTATTAGATATGGATATTTTAGAATATTTTTCTGAGAAACTAATATGATAAGCAAAATGCCCAGAGCACAGCAAGCACTCAACGAAGATTAAAGCAAATGTTATTAATACCAAACAGAGGGAGCCAACACTCAGGTAGATATTAACAAGGTGTTTCATACATCTCTAACTGCCTGACTGTGGTATGCTAAATATCCTCATCCCCAGGACCTGTGAATATTTGCCACACACAGGAAAACGGACTTTACAAGTGTGATTACGTTAAGGATTTTAAGATGAAGAGTTTACTCTGGGTTATCCAGGTGGGTTTAATGCAATCACGGGGCCCATATAAGAAGGAGGCAGACGGGTTAGGAGCGAGAAGAGCTGCAAGATGGAAGCCGAGGCTAGAGTGATACAGGACCCGTGCGCTGAGGAATGTGAGTGGCCTCTAGATGCTGAAAAAGGTAAGGAAAAAGTATTTCCTAGAACTTTCAGAAGGAGAAATATAAATGAAAATGTGTTATCCTAAGAAAAAAAATGCAGAAATGCAATTTTAAAACTAAAAACAGAAGATCATGATTAAAACTTTAGATGTCTGATCTCCAGATGCATAAGATAATAAATTTGTGTTGTTTTAAGCCACTAAGTTTTTGGTAATCTGTTACAGCAGTAATAGGAAATGAATACACTTACAAAGGTAAGAATTGCATTTTTACAGCAGTCTACCTGACTTTAGAAAAAAAAGAAGTAGTAGGGAGTGGCTGTGCGCTGTGGCTCACGCCTGGAATCCCAGCAGTTTGGGAGGCTGAGGCGGGTGGATCACTTGAGGTAAGGAGTCCCAGACCAGCCTGGCCAACATGGTAAAAACTCACCTCTACTAAAAATACAAAAATTAGCCAGGAGTGGTGGCGCACATCTGTAATCCCAGCTACTAGGGAGGCTAAGGCAAGAGAATTGTTTGGGGAGCAGACGTTGCAGTAAGCCACGATCACACCCCCACACTCCAGCCTGGGCAACGGGGGGAAACCCCCGTCCCGAAAAAAAAAAAAAAGAAGACGTAGGGAGTGATTAAAAAGTAGAAAAGGGCCAGGTGTGGCAGCTCACACCTGTAATCCTAGCACTTTGGGAGGCTGAGATGGAGGATCACTTGAGTTCACAAGTGTGGTGGCGCATGCGGGTTGTCCCACCTACTTGGTAGCCTGAGTTGGGAGGATCACCTTAGCCGGGAAGTCGAGGCTGCAGTGAGCTGTGATTGTGCCACTGCACTCCAGCCTAAACAACTAGAATGAGACAGGACAACCTTGTCTCAAAAAAAAAAAAGAAAAAAGAATATTTGCTTCTAGGACTTAAAACAGAAATGAAAATGTGTTATTTTTAAGAAAAAATATACAGAAATGCAATTTTAAAACTAAAAACAGATGATCACAATAAAGCTTCATGATGGTAGGATGCAATATTGCTAGAGAAAAACAAGAATTAGAACAGGGTAGATAAATTTGTCTATTCAACAAATGCATACCAGGTGCTAACTCTGCCATGCATCATTTCAAAGCCTTTTTAAAGAATTGCTCTGATAGTCCTTAACTATTGAGTTGGACTAGAACATTTTTAAGATTTCTTCCAGCTTTAAAGTTCTAGAGTAAACCACAAATGAGAAAAAACAAGTAATTTACGCGTCAATGCTTCTCAGGAAAGTTCAATTCCTAGTCATCCAGGGAGGAACTTGCCTGTTATTCATGTTGCTACCACTAGATGGCAAAGTTAGCCTAGTGATGGCAAATCTAAGGCCGGTATTTAAACTGTTTACATTTACTCAGCTGTGAAATAGATTTTATTTTAAAAGCATGTAAGATTCAGCAGTGGTAAAACTTTTAACTGGCTAATAACATACTAAATGGCTGTGACATATGGAGTTTATTACATTTAGAAAACACTCCTACAGGCCACAGAGCCCATCCTGATGAACTGAGGGCTGATAATGCTGTCTACAGCCAGACAATTTTCTGGCAGAGAGTTTTTCAAAAACAGTTGTGGTGCCAGCACACTTCCAGCATGACCTACAGCACTGCGAACTAGTCTCCTAAACGTGCTGCAATTTATGCAACTTCTTTCAATGCTAAGGAAAATCTCAAACCTGCCAAATATTTCACATATGTTTCTCAAATACCTTATAATCCATTCCTAAAGGATAAGCTCTCCACTGATTCTAGGCCGAGAATAAATGGTAAGAAAGTTCAATGACAGTGGGCCAATTTCTATTCAAAATATCATACCATAGCACTATTTTCAAGTTTAGTTTCATAAATAGAGACCAAAAAAATGTCTGCTTAAAAAGTTTGGCAGTCCTTGAGGGAAAGGAAGATGGTAAAGTTACACAGTTGATTATTTTACAGTAACCCACAACTTCTGTTTCTCATCACAATAAAAAACAAAACCTCTCTTTGTTTTGGGGCTATTTTTCCAGGACCTACACATCTCAATTTCTGCAATTCCTGCAATGCTACGGGTAAATCAAATTTGGGGTGAATGACACTAAAGGAACCCTAAGGGAGCTCTCATATTTTGCCTTATGAAGTGCACAGCAAATGGCTCTAGACTTATCTGTATTTTTCCAGTTGGCTTTGACAGCAAATAATATCTCCAAATAGGTATGCCACTTTTCAGGCTTTAAAGCATCTATGGTCACATGTTTTCAGCTAATCCACATCAGTTTTACCTATACGAAACTTAGCATGCATACTACTAACTTCACTGTTTCCTAACTTTTCCATCTCAGATTTCTCATCTGCAAAGTTAACTCAGTGCTAAGGGAAGGTAGCTCCATCCTCCCAAATTCTGAGTCTGATCCTACTGTTAAAATGCAATATGCTTGTTGGATATTTGAGCATTGGGCAGAAGAAAATAATTTACCCAATGGTGAAAATTAACTCACACTAGCAATTGTTTATTTTAACATATAATGAGCACATACTATGTGCCAAGTATATGCTAAACAATCTCACATTTAAAATGTGAAAAAGCTTCTTTAAAGCACACAGGTTTCCCAGCTATCTGGAATAAAAGTGGGGGAGAGTATCCACGTCCACCACTTCTCCCATTAAAGGAACTCCTCTAATATTTCCTAATAAAAATAAAATTCCATATGATACTTGGCCACTACTTTCAAGCCTGCATGTCTTATTTGGCAGGGACTTTAACTTTCTCTCTTCTAAATTATAAAGCAGATTCTCAGTATAATTCTCCAGCCAGCAAAATACGACTTTTATAATCTGTGGAGACCAATGTATTTTGGATAAAATAAGAACGAATTTCAGAAGTCAGAAGGGTTAATAAAGGGTGAAAGCCCCCTAGACACAGCACGAAGCTTCGTTTCAAATCAACGACAGTGTAAAAATGTCAGAGCAAATCAAGTGGGATTGTTTCTACAACTTTTTTTTAAGACATCTGAACTGGTAGTGACAAAATTTCTCCAACTTTTTTAAAAAAAACCTTTTATTATAGAAAATTTCAAGGCTACACAAAAGCACAGAGAAAAGTACTAAAAGAAAAGTGTAACCCCCTTGTAAACCTCACCAGCTTCAACTGTCAATATTTTACCAATATTCTTTCATCCACCCTCACCACCCCACACGCTGTTTTTTTCCAACTAGAATATTTCAAAGCAAGTCAAAAAACTTTTCTTTTTCATTTCGCCTCATTTTCTAAACGTTTTCCAATGCTCCTTTTGCTGACCCCTGCAGCCAAGTTTATAAAAGGGCAGAGGGGAGAGGCTAGCTTTCATAGTAACCCTGCCAAAGAGACTTTCCAGGAATGCGTTTTGCACCTTTCTCAATGGCATCTGTTAACAATCATAAAAATAAAGAGGGTCTCCTCTGGTACGGCTTAAGCAGAAAGAATTCCATTTATATTCCAATGCAAACATTGTTGCTGCTAATATTAAACTGTGCAGAGGCCGGCCCACAGAATTGTCTACGGGAAGGGTGGTTAGTTTCTTTGAGGACAGAAAGAAAGTGCCAAATTTGATCCTTTTCTTCAGAGCCCTTCAAAGCAGCCCTCCTCGGGTAGATCCTGCCTTTCTCAGGGAAACTTCCAAGTTCTAAGGTCTTGCCCTTTTGAGGGAGCTTCACCTTTACCTGTGAGGCTGGTTCCTTCCCGAGGGCACTGTCAGCTGAGATCAGAGCTCGAGAGGAGGCGGGCAGGGACGCTGCAGCCGGAGCCTCGCAGCCAGCCAGAGGCGCAGGCCGCCCCGCCAGGGCCAGGCCACAGCACCCGGAGCTCGCAGCCCAGACTGCTGAGGAGGAGATTGCGGCGCCGCGCTGGCCGGGAGATGGGAGGGGAATGGGGGCGATGACGCGGGGCGGGCGAGGTGGGATGGGGGGAAGTCGAGGGGGAGGAGGTGGGCAGAGGAGACGCAGAGGGAGCGCCCAGAGGGGATTTCCCTGGAGGAAAGGGGTTGGACCTGGCAGCGTCTCGCCCCAGCATTTCTGCCCCCAAGCTGAATTAAGCATTAGGAAAAATTCAGGAGTAGGTTCACAGGAGATGCAGGTCCCTGTGAGAGTATGCACTCCTTTAATAGTCTCAGGAGTTGTTCAGTTAGAGTCTCATTCCCCGCTGCTTGCTGTTGAGAGCCCAGCTGTCTAGAAGAACGGAGGGCGTCTCCCCAACCCTACCTCAAGCCAGTCGCCATCGCGGACCTCGCTTCTCTGGATGCACAAGCTGCAGGGTCACCCCAACTTGCACCAGCGCCAAGTACGAGGGCCGCCTCTAGCCCAGGGTTCCCAAGGGCGCCCATTCTAAACACCAGGATGGGGACCCCAGGCTGGGACGCCTGGACCCCCGGGAGCATCCTGCGCTGCCTCCAGGGGGAGTGCGTGAGTTTCCATCTGCAGCGACAACGCTAGTTTTCTTCTTTGGGCAAGTAAACTTTAAGGCCCTTTCCCGTCTCAGTCCCACCAGCATTCTAACCTCATCCTTTGTCTCTGATTCTCCTCTTTAGGAGAGGGGAGGAGGGAGCCACGTGAGGGAGGAAGCTGCATTTGTTTAACAACAAATTCTAGTGGGCGACAGGTCTGGGGCAAGAGGCACTGATAGAACAATGAGTACAAAACCCGGTCCTGACCCTAAAGCAGGGAGATCGAGTAAGTGCACAAGTACTTAGGACACGAGGTCTTAGCATGTCCTGTAACACGCACGGTTCTTTAGTGGGTTATTGCATATCTCAAGTTTCTATATACTTTTTAAAATTGTACTTTAGGTTCTGGGGTACATGTGCAGATCATGCAGGATTGTTGCATAGGCACATACATGGCAATGTGGTTTGCTGCCTCCATTCCCCCGTTCTGTGTACTTCTAATGAGATCATAACATACTTAGTATTATCCCTTGGTATACTCAAGGACTGGTTCTAGGCCCTCTTCCCCTCGGCACCCCCATACTAAGATCATCTCATATTCAAGTTCAAATCTAGCTGTGAGCCCTGGGGAACCTACCTATAGGAAAAGTCTACCTTCTGTTTAAGCAGTTCTGCCTGCAAATACTGTTTTCTATCTGCTTTTGGGTGAAAAAAAAAAAAAATCTGTACAAGGACCTGTGTAGTTCAAATATGTGTTGAAGGGCCAAATATATACACAATTTCATTGCTGTTTTCTCATTTAGCATTGTTAATATATGCGTTTATCCATTTATTAAAATCTTTTGGTAATTTTTACCAGTTAGAATTAGCTCTGAAGCTCTCTGTTTCACCAGTTAGATCATAATAGTTGTATGCACCTTTGAATCAGCATCATCTACCACTGGGCCTGGCATATAGTAGCTGATTACATGTGGAACTGAAAAGTCTGCTAGTCAGATGGAGTGTGGAGAAGTTACAGATAAAGCCCAGCACTCAGAATGGGAATCCTGCCTGACACTAAATAGCTGTGTGCACTGGGCCTCGGTTTCTTCATCTGTAAATTGAGATGGTTGAGCTGGAGGAGTTCCAAGGCCTGCAGCTCTCAAACGTTTTGGGATTCTAACATCGTATAAATCCAGAAGGATTCAGTGTGGACCCAGGTCTGATTCCTTCACTTTATTCAGCATTTTCCACCAGCATCACAGAAAGCAGACTTCCAGGGCTCTCTCATTTTCCTGCCCTGTTTCCTGAGCCTTTGACCCCAAGCCCTCTTGCACCCTATTTCTGCATCCATTCAATGTTGTCTTATCAACTTGATGGTTTTCAAAATTTATTGCTTTACTTCATCTGTTCCTGATGCTTCATATTTACTATTTCTCTAGTTCTAGGTTTCTGGTGTCCTCTTTATTTTTTTAAAAAAAATTCGTTAAATTTTTTTGAGACAGGGTTTTTAAGTTCTCACTCTGTCACCCAGGCTGGAGCGCAGTAGCAGGATCATAGCTGACTGCAGCCTCGAATTCTGGGCTCAAGCCATCCTCCCACCTCCACCTCCCAGGTAGACAGGCACATGCCATCTCATCAGCTTTTTAAATTATTTCTTTTGTAGAAGCAGGGTCTTGCAATGTTGCCCAGGCTTGTCTTAATGTGCTGGCCTCAAGTGATCCTCCTGCCTCAGCCTCTCAAAGTGCTAGGATTACAGAGGTGAGCCACAAGGCCTGGCCAGAATTCTGGCTTCTTTTAATCAGCATTCCTTCTCCTGGCCTGGTCCAGCCTCTCATGGCTAAGGAACCCATATATAGGAAAAGTCTGCCCTCGGTTTAAGCAGTTCTGCCCGCAAATACTGTTTTCTATCGCTTTTGGGTGAAATACCACAGTATGAGCGATTCAGACACCCATACCAAACTATATTCTCAACCCATCAAATTCCTCATTCTGGTCTTACAATGATGGTCCTATGACTTTCCAGTGCTCCTCAACCAGCTTTCCACATGGGATTGAACACTTGGTATAATATGACTCTTACCATTTAAGGAAATAATGCATTATAAGAAATGTTATCAGTTAAAAAAAATAAACTCATAACAAAGTTTCTAGCCATATTTCCCCAAGCTCCTAGACTTTTTTTTTTTTTTTTTTTTTTTTGGGAAGGAGTTTCGCTCTTGTTACCCAGGCTGGAGTGCCATGGCGCAATCTCGGCTCACCGCAACCTCCACCTCCTGGGTTCAGGCAATTCTCCTGCCTCAGCCTCCTGAGTAGCTGGGATTACAGGCATGCGCCACCATGCCCAGCTAATGTTTTGTATTTTTAGTAGAGACGGGGTTTCACCATGTTGACCAGGATGGTCTCGATCTCTTGACCTCGTGATCCACCCACCTCGGCCTCCCAAAGTGCTGGGATTACAGGCGTGAAGCTCCTAGACTTTATCTTCAATTATTGTGACTATTGTGGCCAAATATTTTATCAAATTACTTTAATACAACCCAAATTCTTGGTTAATGCACCAACAAAATTGATAATGATCTGTCCTTTGACAGGCCCCCAGCTTAATGGGGGCATTTGCATGATTCTCTAGAAATGGAACCAAGAGGCCTAGAACACATCTCCTGTCACATTTCAGGTCATGAGAGGTCCAGTGGCCTCTATAGAAGAGACGCGGTGACTGCTGTCAGGCCTGGCTATGATTAAGGCTATACTACTTAGTCTTTTTTTCTAGACTTGATTTCCCAAGAGGCTGAGACCAAAATAGAAAACTCTCTATTCAAGACTAAATCTTATTTATCATAGAAATGTACTTGGAAAGTTTTAGCTGTGGAAAGACAGGAAGGGGAGCTGTTTCATGGTCCATGCTGAAGGCCTAAGTGATGGCTCGGCCTTCTGGAGGGACCTGAATTGCTGTGGCTGTAATCATCCTGTTAACTTTTAATCCCAAAGTTTTATTAAAACTTTGTTTGTTATTCATTGGGTGGTATGATTCTGCTTGTTTAAAAACCTAGGGGTCCCTTGGTTAAGGCAGACTGAGAAAATTAAGTAGATGGAATAAGAAAAAAAGATAAGGTACCATTTGTCCTCAAATTAGACATATTCTGATAGAAGCCACCTATGATCCGCAAATGTGAGGAACAGTTGCTGGCACACCACAAACCTGCAAAACCATTGGCTTTCTCTATCTTTCTGGGTGGCCCAAGGAAAAGCAATGGTATGTTCCCCACAAAATCTGAAAATTGGGTGCCTCATTGCACCCCCTCCTCCATTTAGACCTGTTCTTTCTGATAAGCAGTGTTGGTCTCTCTCCTGCCTTAGTGCCAGTACCGGTCGTGGGTACTTGCCACACTGTTTCAGAATTATTTTTTTCCATCTCTGCCTCTCAAATAGGACAGCCTCAAGGGCAGCAAAACTTTTATATCTCCAGCACTAAGTGCAGTGCCTGCAACTTAGATGTTTAACAAATGTTAACTGAGAAATTCAAAGGGTCTCTAAAAATGGACCACTCTCATCAAGACTGAGTAGAATCAAGACTACCACTCTCATCAGAATCATTCTACCACTCTCGTCTGTAGTTTACATAGTAGAGAGAATTTCAGAGGAAACTGAATTTCTTACAGAAACCAGAGACTTAACCTAGAAGCATCATAAATAAGTGTAAATTAAAAACCTGAGGAGGACATGAACTCCAGTAAATGCAGCCAGGACTAAAGCACTGGGCCCCAACCAGAAAGTCTCCCAGAGACAGGATTTCACAGGATGTTGCCGGCGGACAGAGACTCTTGTAAAATTGAATTCGTAGGCATGTAAATTGAGGCTACCGCAGCAGAGTCATTTACATTCCAAGCTTGGAAATTTAGGATAGCTTTTTGTTATTTTTTATTATTACATTTTTTTTTGTTCTGGAAATAATGATTAAATAATTAGAGGACACGAATAAACCTTCAATAAAGAGCTTTATCAAAGTCAAAATATCCTGGGCAAATCACCTATTTAATGACATACCTAGTCAGGAAGAATGAAGGCTATTCCTCCTCCTCCTACATGGCCTCTGAATATGGAACTGAGCCCACTTTTCATAGGAACAGTGTACTCAACGGAAATATATCTGGGATTAGGAAAATAAGGTTTGAACCTTAACACTGCTACTTATTAGACATGTGATTTGGAGCAAGCTACTTAACCTCTGGGAGCCCCTGTTCTGTCATTTGAAAAGTTAGCATGTTAAAACTTGCCTGGAAGAGTGGTTATGAGGGACAAATGTAAGAATGTATGTGGACACCCTTAGCTGTGGCCTGCCACATGACAGGTATGGAATAAGGAGAGCCAGGAATTGGCCACAGAAGCAGAGTATAGCGAGTGACATATGACTGGTTTCTGTGTTTCTACGTGACTCCCAGGAAAGGCAGGAGACCAAGGTACCTCTAATGTCAGCTTCTCCCTGTTATACTTTCCCTTCCGTTTCTTTTTCTTTTG